GCTCACCTTCAAAACTGTTGAACCAGTAGAGGCATCTTCCCTTATGATACCATAAAACACAGACCGACTAAACATTGGTGGATTGTCATTGACGTCACCTATTACCACCGTGACAACGACACTGGCTGAGAGCGAGGGTGACCCAGAGTCTTTTGGCACCACTGTTAGTGCGAACCGGGCCTGGGTTTCCCGGTCCAGTCCTGAGTTGACTCTAATTACACCAGACACGGGATCAATTTTAAAGCTAATAAAGGAGGAAGAAAACAGATAACATGATATTAGGTGACCGCTGCCGGAACTAAATGTACGTTGTTCCTCTCTAAAAACTCCAATGAGAAATAGATCATTTCAGGAAGGGGATTTTCTCTATATTTCGAAAAATGCCAAGTTATTAATCATTCAGTCTTCCTTCAGGAAACCAATCAGTCAATCAATAGCTCAAAAGGTCCGTTAGTCAGCCGGTCAGTCATCTGGTTTGCCATTCGGTCGTTTACTCCGACGGTCAGTCCGTCGGTCAGTAAAGCAGTCGGTCGTTCGTTCATTCAGTCAAGCAAATATTCTGTCAGTTAGCACAAACGTCAGTGGGGCGCGAAGGGAATTTGTCAGTCTGCCAGCCAGTAAGTTAGTTACTCTGGCAATCAATGAATAACACAAGCACGGGGACTAGACGGGCTGGCAGGCAGGGCAGGCAGGCGGTCGGTCAGTGGGGCAATCTGCAGCGCAGTCAGTCAATATGTCAATCAATTAGTTAGTCAGCCAGTCAGTCATTCATTTAGTCAGTCAACTAGTAAGTCAATTAATCCTTCTCTCAGTTAATCAATCAATCAGTCAGTCAGTCAGCCAGCCAGTCGTTCAGTCAGTTAGTCAATCGAACATTCAGTCAGACAGCCTGCTAGTCATTCAGTCAGTCATTCCGTCAGTCAGCCATTCTGTCTATCAATCAGTAAGTCCGTAAGTTAGTCAGTCCATCAGTCAGTCAGTCAGTCCGTCAAATCTTACCTGTCCCCAGAGTTCCCAGCGGATATACTGTACGTCAATTTTCCGTTGAGTCCCGCATCTTTATCTTTGGCTTCTACTCGTCCCACCAATTGAGACATCGTTGCATTTTCCAACACGTGGAACGTGTAAGCGGGCTGGTCAAAGACTGGCCCGTTATCATTCTCATCCATGATATAAACTCGAACGGACGTGGTATCACTCAAAGATTTGATGCTTCGGCTGTTTTTTCCGTCCTCTGCTTTCACCGTCAAGTTATACACAGCGATAGATTCTCTATCCAAAGTACGCTGTGTTGTGATCTCTCCGGTAGCCTGTCAAGGAAAAGATTGAAACCAGTAAACTTTGGAGTACATTCAGCTTCGTTAGTAAGCAGGGTAGGGTGGGAAAGGGTTTATACGCGTGAATTTTTACAGAGAGACAAGGTAAGGGGAT